GAATGGCAGAACATCTTGTTGTGAGGATCTATCAGGACAATTCCTCCGCCAGCTCGATGCTGAGTTAATGAACCGTCAACGTACAAAGTCCATATTTAATATTCGTTGACTGTTTCAATTTCAGGAGTGAACTCGGCAATAAAGTCAGATAGGACATGAGCCTTTATAGTTGTCCTCGATTTATAATGGATGTCGTATTGACCGAGTTCAATTGCCCATTTAACCAGTCTTCCCGATGTGTCAGGGCGGTGAAGAATTGATTTTAAAGAGTATGAAGTGAGCACCGTTATTGAATGTTCCTGGAAGTAAGGACGTAACTTCCGAGCCGCAATTATGAGGGCATAGGCTAATTTTTTTATCAGTGGATATCGTAGCTCAACTTCATGTAGTGCTTTACTGACATAATAAATCGGATATTGTTGATGTCCTTCTTCTCGGATAAGGACGGCACTGATAGCAGCTTCACTTACTCCCAAGTATAAGTACAGCATTTCTTCAGCTACTGGTTTGTAAACTCGGTATTTGAAGGAGCGTTTCTTTAATCTTGGCCAAAGCTTGTTGACATTCTATAGTCCATTCGAAATGTTTTCCCTTCTTTATTAACTCAAAGAAAGGTCTACATCGGTCTGTTGATTTTGATATGAACCGATTTAAAGCAGCAAGTCGGCCAGTAAGAGCTTGAACACCTTTGACCGATGTGGGAGGTGTTAAGTCCAAAATGGCTTTTATTTTTAGGGGATTAGCTTCAATACCGCGTTGAGTCACGATATATCCCAAGAATTTTCCAGAACCGACTCCAAAAGTGCATTTTTTTGGATTCAGTACCATGGAATAATCCCTAAGGATGTTGAACATTTCTCGCAAATGATTAACATGATCAACAGCGTGAACCGACTTGACTAACATGTCGTCAACATAGACTTCCATGGTATCCCCGATGAGCTTGGCAAACATTTTATTAACCAGCCTTTGATACGTGGCCCCTGCGTTTTTTAGACCAAACGGCATCATCGTATAACAATATAGACCTCGGGCATAATAGAATGATGTATGTTCTGCTTCTCCGGGATCCATTGGAATTTGGTTATAACCTGAGTATGCGTCCATAAAGCTCATCAATTCATTTCCAGCAGTGGCATCCACCATATAATCAATGTGGGATAGTGGATAGTTGTCCTTTGGACAGGCTTTATTCAAGTCGGAAAAATCGATACAGAGTCGCCATGCTCCAGTACTTTTCTTTACCAGAACTGGGTTGGATACCCAAGTCGGGTATTTAGTTTCTTGAATGAACTTGTTAATTAATTTCTTGACTTCTTCTTCAAGAGCCTTTTGTCGGTCTGGACCGAGTTTGCGTCGTTTCTGAACCGCCGGTTTATTGTCGGATCCAAATTAAGTCGGTGTGAAGCCACATTGGGGTCAATTCCTTTCATATCTTCATGTTTCCAGGCGAATACATCTAAATTTGCCTTGAGAATCTGGATAAGTTGAGTTCCTATTGGTTCTTCGAGATTGGCCCCAATCCGAAGTGACTTATCACAAATAGGATCATCAATGAAAATTGTTTCAATTTCTTCTGATGGTTCAGCTCGGTCGAGTTTGTTTTTCTCTTTGAATTGAGTTCGGGGATCAAGTTCATCCTCTTCATGGATCAATTCTTTTCCTCGGCGTCTTCTATGATCTTGAATTATGCCGTCATAACATACGTCTTTCGAAATTTGCAACTCCTTGGATGGTTCAATTTCCATCTCGGTAGTAACAGGTACCGAGTTCTCGAGAGTTGGGGATTTTTCTCGTTCTTCCTGGACATTTTCTACCATATGTATAGGACAGGGGGGTTCATGCCAGGGCTTAACCCATACCATTCCACGAGCTTCGTATTGATCTCCGTAATGGGTTCCCTCTCCGTTATTTGTGGGAAATTTCAAAGCGTAATGAAATATCGAGACAGCTGCACGAAGTTTATATAGAGATGTTCTTCCCACGATGGCATTTTATTCATTTTTGAGATCCATCACCTTGAATGTCTCCATGATTACTTTGGAGGTCTGCCCAGGAATCCCAAACCGAATTGGCATGGTTATTTCTCCAAGAGTCGGTGTGACTGTTCCGTTGAAACCTTGTACTTGATCTTTGCAAGGTTTTAACTCGGCTGGATCAATCCCCATTTGTTCAAATGTGCGGAGCATTAGAATACTCGAATATGCTCCTGTATCAACCATTATCCGATGTACTGGTATTCCACAAATTGGTGTCGTGATTACAAGAGGATCAGAGTGTGGGTGAGCAAAATAGCTAGCATCATCACATTGAAAGTAATTGGACAATTATTCCGAGCATTAATTTTATCTCGGAGGTCAGTTGTTACGACAGTTTTACCCGAGTTATAAGCTTTTCGAGCATAAGCTTTCATTTGTCGACGTGATTCAAAAGACTTGTCGCTGCTGTTATTAACTCGGGGAATATTATGAAAACCAGGAGGATTAGAATAACCACTTCGTTGGGTCGTTGCAGTTTTTGCCGAAGATGAAGAATCATTCTCCTCCGAGTTCAACATAAATACTTCTTTTTCACTTTGTCTAATACGCTTCGGATTAACAGGACGATCATCGTCTTCATCATCATCTGGGGGTTCTGGCAGTCTGCCTTTTCGTTTATAATCAACATTCTTGGCAAATCTTTGGACTTGTGGGTGTCCAATAAGCCGCAATAAGGCAAAGAGTAAGCCCAGACATTCATCAGTATCATATCGTGCCGACTTGTGATATGAACAGAATTTCGTTTTGTCAAGTTTTTCTTCCGGAGTCCTCACAGGTCGGGGGTCGGGAAAGATCCCTTTTCCTTTTAATTCTTCAAATATGGTAGCGGCTCCAGCTGAGAAGACCGTCTGATAACTGGATTTGACTTCATTAAGATACTTAGCTCTTGCTTCCTTCACCTCGGGATCTTTAGGATTCCCGAACCAAGATCGGTTCGGTTTGAAAGACTTGTTTTTCTTCTTTTTCGATTCTTGTTCTACTTCCGACTTGTTAGGAAAGAAGTCGAGAATAGGAACCGACATCGATTCTTCAGCTATGATATGTTGCTGAGCTCGAGCTAAAAAATCTTGAAATGAAGTCGGTTTATTCTGATAAATACTCCAGCGAAACAAGGAATTTGGCTTTAATCCAGCTATCGCCGTGATCAGTAGCGTTTCGGGATGGCACTGCTCCATATTTTGTACTCGTTCATTAAACCGAGTAATATAGTCTTTAACACTCTCGTTATCCTTTTGTACGATATTGGCAATGGACTCCTTTGGAATTAAAGATACCCGAGCCCCGATAAAATGAGATCGGAAAGCCGTTCTCAATTGTTGCCACTTAGAAATTGAACATCGGGGTAAAGAGTGGTACCATTTTTTAGCACGAGGTCCCAGGGTTAAAGAAAACATCCGACATCTGAGTGCGTCAGTTGCCCCATGAAGGTCCATCCACGAGGTATATTGACCGAGGTGTGCGTCTGGGTCTGAAGTACCATCGTAAAGACCGATCTGAGGGACCTTAACTTTAGAGGGAAGTGGTTCCATTGTCAAATGAGGAGCCAAGGGAGTTTCGGCTTCCAGATAGACATTCTCCGAGATAGGAGCCCTTTGTTGGGATTCCTCAGGAATGTCTTTCCGAGTTTCTAACTCAGCAATTCTCTTCCTTAACATTTCCAACTCTTTCGACTCACGCCTTAAACGGTTCCTTTCGATAGTATGACGTAATTCATCTTTCTCACGTCGGAACCGATTTCGTTCAATTGTATGACGTAAGTCAGACTGTCGAACGTGTTGTGAAGTTGCCGGTGACAAAGGCACTGGTTGTTGTTGACGACGCCCAGAGTGACTTTCAGCAGTAATTTCTGGTCGAACTCCCTCCGGGGGATGATTATTAACAGGAATTACACCATGATTATGAGCGGCAATATTATGTTGCGACTCAGGTGTTCGTGGTTGAGAAGTTGCATGAGATGCAGCAGGAACACTATTTTGTTGTTGAACAGGCGGCGTTAATTGCCTGGTTTGAGGATTTGAAGCATGAGCTTGACTAGGAACCGTCACAGTTGGTCCTATTCTTGTTTGTGCCATGAAATTAGATAGATTTATGAGAAACTCTGGATCTTGGAATAGAACAGAGTAATCTATCGTCATAGATGGCACAGTTGTATTATCAGTTGTATGAGCAGGATGACGGTTGGTTCCAGCATCGGGATTTCGTTCTTGTCGCCCAGAACTTGACATAGTAATAATACGTGTGGCGCATACCTCGCTCGGCGTATCCCACATCCCGAGTTCGAGTCACCTGGAGGGGAATTGGGGAACCAGTATTAATCCTCCTTTTAAAGAGAGAAAATGTTTAAACAGAAATAAGAAGATAATTGTATTTTATTTATGATATCACAAGAGTACAGGAAGTCGGTTTTTTGTTCTTGACCGAGATCATTTCAAATCCATGTACAATGTGCGAACAAAGAAGAAGTCCCCCGTACAACTATAAATTCTGCTATTATAGTACGGTCACTTTTGTCTTTTTGTCCGAGATAGATAAGATCGCATTTAATGTTGAGCAGCTTCAATAAAACGGTGTGTAATGGAATGAGGAAACATCAATGATTGTTTTTTGTTTTGATGGTCCAATCGAATATGTACAACACCTCTTGTTTGGAAATTCAATCTCCTCAGATGTTGGATGAATGGATAATTTTTAATGGACATAATCACAATGTCGGTGAAGTCGGTTGTCGGCTTCTGATAAGTTGTCGGTTCTACTTTCAGTCAACTGGAAGTCGGTAATCAACGTATTTAACTGGTACCGACTTGAGCTAAGTTTAGCTATTTCTAAGAGACTATTAATCAAACGAAGTCATTAGTCTTTGGCTCTAATCTCATGAAGCCAAGTCGGTCATCAACAGAGGGGGATTATAGAGGGAATGAATTGGAGTTACTTGCCCTGTTGTGAAATTGTAAAACTAGTGGATTTTACTGTAAAAACTCTAAAAATAGAAAGTAGGGCTGGAGATACTCTAAGACAAAATCACAACATGTAACATAGGATCTCATCCCAATATTCATAAATCATACTTTAAAATTTACAAATTCTTTTACCAATGCAAAAATATGAAGTGAATAACGAACCAAACTCAAGTTTCGAACATCATCGTACGTAAAAAGCTCAGCACACTGAGGCAGACGAGTACATGTTCAACTTTATACAACTGCGAAATACACACACAAACACACGAAGCAAAGCTTTGACAAAGATAAAACTCGAAACAAGGAATTACCAAATGAATAGATGATCCCAATTAGAAGAATCTGTTGTATTGGCTAGTGAGGGAGTCCCGGAGATTAGAATAAAGGCCGTATAGAGAATACTGGCGTAAGTTCTTAACCTCGTACCACGAGTTGAAAACCGATTCGTGTTTGTCCGTGCCTGAAAACGCCAGCTGTATCCCGAGGCTGCAATCTACCGACCCACCTCGACCCCTGCAGCTACTAGTTCGGATGGCACAGTCTTGATTATTGAGGCACACGAAATTCGACCTGCCAGAGCAAGCAGCACAGCCGTCTCGTTTCCAGAATGAGTTTTGAAGTCTACCCTTTCTAAACTCATGAACCTGCATTCAAATGAGGATGATCAAAGCTAAATAAATGGATGATAAGTTAATTCTTGCTGGTGAATATGATATAGTAATGGCTTCTTAGTAGTTTCTTACCAGGGTAAAACTGGTAACTATAAATGTACTGTTTGCAACGAATGCAGGAGATGACCGGGCAGCGTATCTTCGGCCAGCAAATGCCACCATATAACCGCCATATGAATCCTGGACAAATTGAGTTGGGGAAAGATAAAAGAAAAGAACATTGGATTAATATGTAGAGCCAGAAAAAACTTGCATCGATTAAAAACTTTATATTAGTCTTCTTTAAGAAAGAAACAAAGAAAAAATAATCCACACCATTCAGCTAAGTGCCACCACTAACATATCAGCAAAGGTCACCAGGAATCCAATTCATCGATCACCTTATCCACAAAAATATTTCCAACTTCTTTTTTTTTTTCACTTATAACCAGAAAATTTACTCACTGGACTAACTAATACTGAAAGGAAAGTCGAATACCATGTGAACACCAAACCCTTTATGAGTTTGGTCTGCAATGATTTGACATACGCTTAAAGCTGCACCCTAACATTTCTTTGATCTGGGGGCTCTACTATCATTGCTAGTACTGTTTCTAACTTGCATATTTTTTTTTTTAGAACTTTTCTCCTAATCCCAGAACCAAGAATAAAAAGTAATACCAAACCTAATGTTAAACTTTGAGATTGAGGCAAGCTTCTATATGCTATTGGAGTTAACACGACTGTTTCTGAGAGCACATTGGCAAATAGCTTACAACCAAGTCGTTATAATTTACAAACCGTTCAAACAGCTTGAAATGCATGCAAAGAGACTAGTTTTTGGATTTGTCTGGATAATGATTGTAAGCAATTGTCACCTTTTCTTAATTCAAGGATTTTGTAAATAACCTTTTAAAAGACGAAAACAGATGTCAGGTTGACTAATGTAGAACATGAAATCTCGCGAACATACGGGTAATAACTAACCACAAAGCTCCCATGACAGGTTAACAAACTGGTCTCCTCCCAACGAACCCAGGTACTACCAACAAGAGAAATAGACACTCTTCTACTTCAACAATAACTAATATAATTCTGAATAGACTAAGAAATTATTGCATCCTCATGGTCACTATGAACAACAATTTTAAGGTTTCTATCTTGAGACATCATAACACTAAATACAGAGTTATTAGCAAGATCTGCACGTCACTGTAATAGTCATTGACCGTATCTTATTTCTCAACAACATTTGTGAGCACGGAATTTCATATCACTCCGAATTCCAGAATTAGATCCAATCAGAGAACACTTGTCGACGCATATTATCTAAACAGCACAAGTGATTCTTCTTCCAATCAGTTTAACTCTCTTTAGTTTTTTCTTGGACTGTCCACTCCAGCAAAGAAGTTATCATAAACACAAAATACAACACAAGCAAAGCGAGAATACCTTTGAAACCAGCCCATATAACAATATAAACAAAGCTAATCAAACAAATCCAACCAGAAAAGACAAAACCAGAAGTTCATCGGAAACTAAAGACAGAGGTATGTAGCAAGATCTGAGCACGTCAATCAGAGAATACTTGTTTGACCGAATCTCATTTCTCGACCACTTTTCCGTGCACAGACTATCATATCGCGCCGAATCCAGAACTAAATCTAATCAGAGAATAGTTGTAAACCCACATTATCTAAAAGCACAATTAACTCTTATTCCAATCATAGAATACTTGTTAACCCATATTATCTAAAATCACGACTAATTCTTATTCCAATCAGTTTAACTTTCTTCAGTTTTTTTTTCTAGGACTGCCCAACAATGAAGTCATAGTTAACACAAATTACGACACAAGCAAATTGTAATTCCATTGAAACGAGTCCGAACAACAATATAAACAAGGCTAATCGAACAAATCCTACCAGAAAACATAAAACCAGAACTTTATCAAACAATAAAGAAAAAAAAAATGAAAATCAGAAATCAGCAAACAAATATGATACTCAATATCAGCATATACTCAGCTTAATTAAAAAAACAAAAAAAAAAAATAAAAAAGAAAAATCAGTACCGGTAAAAAGTTGGAGGTGTTGATAGTGAGGAGCGAGATCTCGTCGACCTTAGGGCGGAAGACGGCGACCTGAGAATTGGCGGATACGAGCGAGAGGCGGCGGTCGCAGGGAGAAAGCTGGGAGTTGTTGAAGAAGAATGACGCCCTCGATGCGAACGCGATCCCGAAGGTGAACCCGTCGGACCTCTGCACGGACGCGTCGGCGCACGGCGAGTACACGTGGTTGTTGTTGTCGCCGAGCACCCCAATGGAGATTAAGCTGAAAAGGGACACAAAAAGGGCAATCGATGGCCTCGGGGACGCCATTGTTACAGCGGAGGTCGGCTTCCAGTTATCCAGTTGGGGATTTTTGATTGAATTTGGGGTTTCTGTAATTCTGTTTGTTTCTCACAAAATTGAGAATTTTCCAATCAAAATATTTTCTATGGACCGTATTTCCATATCAATCCTTCCTAATTTATTATTTAAATAAATCTTAATATGATGAATATGTTTCTCAACATATTAGAAAAATGTATTTCCTCAACAAGAATTGACACACATAAGTTGACATTTAGGCTTGGAGAATAAAATATGCAATGATATCTATATCTATATATATATATATATATATATATAATTGTTGGCTAATAGCATTTAATAAAACATTTAATAAAACCTCATTTTGATTTCTCTCCAAAAACCGTTACAAACTTTATCATTTATATATCTCTATATTTAATTACTAACAATAAATTTAATAATATTAATTATTTTTTACCATATTTTTATGTTACAATCTTCTATTATTATTATTATTATTAATCCACCATATCTAATTAATGCTAGAATATTTCATTGCACTTTTTTAGGGTTAATTAAGACAAAAACCGTTACATTTTATATTAACGGAGTAATAATTATACTATTTTATTATATCATATAAAAGATATTATTAAAACTAATAACTATAGTTTACACTAAATGATATATGAAAGTTACATAAACATAAAAAATTATTGTAAACTTTTTGCTGAAGTTATTTATTCTAAAATTAATATTATATTTTTTTTTATCTTTGGTAACGCAAAACACTCCGACCGGCTTGAAATCAACTTGCCTCCTTCTTCCTCGCCGGTAGAACGCCGCGTTCCTGCACAGAACTCTCACACCGGAGGGGTTTTCCGGTGAAGAGCCTCCGATGCTTAAGTCAGTATGTGTTTGTTCAATTTTCCAAATTAAAGAATGGATAAATCGTAGGCTACAAGAAAAGACTCACTCCCATATATATAGGAGTGAGATACCTGCCCTAGAAACTGCCCGGCTTTTGGTGAGCTGTCCTGCCCGTACTGCCCGTCCGTACACACACATAGTGTGTGTGTGTGTCAGAGATGTCAGGGGTGGTTTTCGCCACTATCACTCTGCACCAATATATTCTCGCCACGTGTCCCTCTGAGCTGAGGGAGATTATTCTCCTGCGCATGCCGTTAGGATCTTCTAACGTCATCCACGCGCCTTCTCGCGTTCAAGCCACGCTTTAGACTGTTCTTCACCTGTTGAGTGCTCGATCTCCTCCCTTTTGGTCGATCCTCGATCAGTTCTGCTATTCTGCTCGATCTTCTCCCTTCTGGTCGATCCTCGACTGGTACTGCTATTCTGCTCGATCTCCTCCCTTCTGGTCGATCCTCGACGGGTACTGCTATTCCGCGCGATCTCCTCCCTTTTGGTCGATCATCCTTCCCCCAATCCAGTTTTTTCCACTTAGAGGTTACTCGACCGATGATGCAGACCGGTCTATTCCTCAGCTATATAATATCCCATATCATCTAGTCCCCCCACTCTAGTCGAGTCTGAATGACTCGATCTAAGAGTGAATTCAGGCTGTCTTCTTCGTTCTACCATCCTCTCGATCTCCTGCTTACATCTAATCTCCTCTGCTTATCTCTTCTGTCGAGGCCGCCACCCTTCTTCGACCACGCGATCGATTTTATGATACGCCTTAAATTGTCTCTTATTCCCTTTTATTACTAGCGTAGTTTCCGCCTGCCATGTGTCCTTTCCGCTCAGTTCCTTTAATCATCGCACCTCCTCGCGATTTGTGCCGCTTCGTTATCTGTACCTCTTTAATTTTTCCTACCGTTGGATCTTCTTTTATCTAACGGTCATCTCCCCTAACTCTTCCCTTTATTCATCTGTACCCCTATAAATACGGTACTTAGCCAACTTTTCAGCTTTTCTCACCTTTGCCATCTTTTACATACTTGTGCCCTAATTTCTCCCTCTGCAAACTGCGCTCCTCTGTTCTTCGGCGTTTTCGCTCCTTCAGCTTCAAGCTTTTCTCGGCGACCACTCTCCACTGCAACCATGAGTAAGTCTTCTATGTTTTAATTTTATATTTGCGTGCATTTATTTTGCCAATTTTTCGATTTTCCCAGTTGCTTCTGCTTTTACCCAAATCCTTCTCGTCTCGCCTGCGGCGTAAACCTCTTTCTTTGCTTTCAAAAACCCTAACTCCTTTTCTCTTCTTCTCACTTTTTCGTTCTACTTTTCAGATTCCGCTGATTCTAACGCACCCAGCCATCACTCTGTCGAAGATGAGATCGCCACATCATCCTTCCTCACTCCTCAGCCTATTCCTCACTCGCCTTCCCGATCTGTCGAAGAAATCTACAATCCCACTCCTATAAGTGTTCTACCTCCTCCCGATTACGCCATACCTTCTCCTCCTCGCCAACCTACTCGTCCGATTGAAGGATTAGACGAGGATGCACTCGACCATGTCCCCCTTAGCCGTCGTCGGCCAGCGTTTGGGGCCTCTGACGCCGCTGAGGCAGCTCTCGACGCTGCTGAGGCAGCCATGGAGAGGGAAGAAGATGATGTCCCCCTCTCCCAGCACTCCGTTTTTGCCCACGTTGTCTCCTCGAGTATGTCGAAACGAAATGCCCCTTCGAGCTCTCCTGCTTCGTAAACCCGCTCTGGTCCTACTACCGCGCCTTCTAAGCCGACCAAGAAGAGAAAGCTAGTCAAAGGCTCCTTCCCTAACCAGACCTCTTCTCGCTCCCTCGTCGCTGGTTGGCTGGACACCAATAAGGTTGGTCATCCAACAAAATGGTCTTTCGTGTCCCCTGGTCCCAAGGATACGTATACCTGCCCCCTTAAGGGTTGTTATACTTTTTTCGAGGTTCATTTTAAACTTGGTATCCGCATTCCCTTATGCCAAGATTTGCTCGACATCTGCCAATGGTTCGAACTGCCTTTGAACCAGCTTCCTCCTAACGCCATCCGGCTCATTACCATCTTCATCATCCTTTGTCATGTCTGCCTAGGTCGGCTCGACCTTGACTTCTTTCACTATTGCTACACCCCTTCGAAACACGCACAAGGACTTTACCTCAAAAGCCGTGCTGATGTCCACTTCATTTCAGACACCCCCTCAAATGTCCCTAGGTGGAAAGATAAATTTGTCTTTGTTGAACCTGACCCTGCTTTCCCTTGGGAGCCAACTCCGTGGCTCAAGGAGCTCAAGCGCGATTATGTGGCGCCTTCTCAGAGCGCCCTTTTCGACCAACGGATCGCTGTGTGGAACACGAAGCCCGTTGCGTCGAAAATTCTGCTCGAGGATGACAACCTCTTGCATTTCTGCGGCCTCCTTACCCCTAAATCACTTCTTCCGCCCTCTCAAAAAATTCTCGATCTCATTCAAATTACAGACGATCCAGGTATTTTTAATTATATTGAATGCACCTGAGCATTACAGTGCCCTTATTCCATATATGATTTATCTGTTGTAGCTCTAACTTGTTCGTGGTTCCTAACAGAGATGCCTACTACCTCTGTGCCTAAGAGGAGTGCTCCTTTGAAGAGGAAGCACCTTGGCGAGAGGTCGAGCTCGAAACCTGCTGACTCGACCGCCTCCGAGTCTGCCCAATCGACCTCGCCGCCCCCGGAAGTGACCGTCGAGCAGCCTTCTTCGACCAACCTCCAAGCGGGCCAGCGGCCCGAGCAGCTCGAGCAGCCCGAGCAGCCAACACAGCTCGACAAATCGGCTTCTCCCCCGCCGCGTTCACCTCCACACGACCAGATTACCCCAGTCATTCATATCCCCGCCTCTCCCGAGAGGACTCTGCTCGAGGAGAGTCAACCGAAGCGGTCTCTTGCTGAGGGGGATGAAAGTATCAGCAAGCGTCGTCGTGTCGAGGAGACCGCCCTCTCAATTACCACGCTCGACGGTCCCAGATTCTCGCATTACCTCAGGGATGTTCTTCCCCCTGTCGACCGTCCCACTGACCGCTATAACGACGGTCACACCCTTCGAGATCGAGGCCATCGGCTTGCCCGCTGGCTGGCTCAGGTAACCTACCGTCACCTGACACTTATCTATTTTATTCCCTTTCTTCTTCTCATTAGTGTTCTAACACTTTCTTTTATGCGCCTTTATAGGGAATGGTCGAGCTCGCGCCGTTGATCGAGCAGACATTAGCGAGCCCGAGTCGGTCCATCTCAGCCATCGAGCTCGGCACTCGGCTGGATGAGATGGTCGTCAAGGCCAACGCCCTTCACGAAAGGCTGAAGGAGTCGGCCGCCCGGAATAAAGCCCTCTCAGCTGAGAAGGAAACGCTCGAGGGGGCCCTAAAATCATTTGAGGAAGCTCTCGCCACCAAGCGAGCGGAGAAAGAGGCCCTTCTGGCCTCGCAGAAAGCCCTTGAAATTGCGCTCGAGGAAGAGAAGGCCGCTCGAGCACGTGAGAATCTTGCCTTCGAACAGCGGGCCAAACCTCTCATCGACGAGGCTGTTCTTCGGGCGCGGAGAGTGGTCTTCCACACTGCCGCGGGCCGGCGCTTTTTGGAATCCTATCGCGAACAAGTGGTGGCTGCCTTCAAACAGTCGCCGCAATATCTGAAGGATGTGCAAGACTGTGGCACCCACTGCTTTGCAGCCATTATGCAGCAAGCAGGAGCCCAGGTAGCCGAGGACAATTTCGAGGAGTTCAATATGGAGGCTATCTGGGACGCCGTGCCCAAAGCACCCGCTGGCTATCAAAGCTCCCTTGACTTACCCTCTGACCACGACTGGTGGTCCGTTCTCCTCGAGCTTGTCGTGGATGGCGACGATCTTCTAAAGCATCATTTCAAACTGCCAGACGGTTATACGCCTCCTCTCACCCGTCAAAATCAATGTCCCGAAGGAACTGAGTCGACTTCCAGCTCCTGTCAGCTGACGAGGCCGGTGTCGCAGCTGATCGAGCCTTCACCGGGACCAGCCCCCAGCGACTCCCATGTCCACGAGGACCAGAGTGATTCCGCATTGTGATTGTATTTTTGTAATTTGTATTTTGTTAAACTTTGTACTCCCTTCCCATTAAGCGACTATTACTCTTGTTGAAGTCTATGAATTTTTCTTGTTATTACTTAATTGTGCGCCCGCTGATGTGCCATTTCATTTGTCGACTTCGTTATTGCCCAGTTTACCTTAATGATGTGTGTCGATGTCGTGTTCACCCATTGTTTAAGTTACACCATCTAATTAATCCTGGTAAATTAATGAGTCT